TTTAAAATGATTGTGGTTTCATTCTCTAAAAACTGTGTTTCCAGTTTTTTTTTTTTTTTTGGGTCGATTTTTCATCATTTTAAGCAATGTAACCCCTTTCCAAATTTTAGAAAAATGGGCTTGCAGAAAACTGACCTAAAACCTGCACTTCTTAGCCCATAACTTTTCTTATAGACATCCGATTTTAAAGTGGCATACTTTAAAATGATTGCGGTTTTATTCTCTAAAAACTGTGTTTCCGGTTTTTTTTTTGTTTTTGGGTCGATTTTTCATCATTTTAAGCAATATAACCCCTTTCCAAATTTTAGAAAAATGGGTCTGCAGAAAGGTGTCCAAAACCTGCACTTCTTAGCACATAACTTTTGTTACGGACATCCGTTTTCAAAGTTGCGTTCTTTAAAATGATTGTGGTTTCATTCTCTAAAAAACTGTGTTTCCAGTTTTTTTTTTGTTTTTGGGTCGATTTTTCATCATTTTAAGCAATGTAACCCCTTTCCAAATTTTAGAAAAATGGGCTTGCAGAAAAGTGATCAAAAACCTGCACTTCTAAGCCCATAACTTTTGTTACGGACATCAGATTTCAAAGTGGCATACTTTAAAATGATTGTGGATTCATTCTCTAAAAAAATGGTTTTTCCAGTTTTTTTTGGTTTTGGGTCGATTTTTCATCATTTTAAGCAATGTAACCCCTTTCCAAATTTTAGAAAAATGGGCTTGCAGAAAACTGACCTAAAACCTGCACTTCTCAGCCCATAACTTTTCTTACAGACATCCGATTTCAAAGTGGCATACTTTAAAATGATTGTGGTTTAATTCTCTAAAAAACTGTGTTTACAGTTTTTTTTTTTGTTTTGGGTCGATTTTTCATCATTTTAAGCAAATTTTAGAAAAATTGGCTTGCAGGAAAGTGACCTAAAACCTGCACTTCTTAGCGCATAACTTTTCTTATAGACATCCTATTTCAAAGTGGCATACTTCAAAATGATCGTGGTTTCATTCTCTAAAAAACTGTGTTTCCAGTTTTTATACCCTTGCAGAGGGTATTATAATTTTGGTCAAAAGTGTGCAACGCAGTGAAGGAGACATCTCCGACCCTATAAAGTATATATATTCTTGGTCAGGATCACCTCCTGAGTTGATATAGCCATGTCCGTCTGTCCGTCTGTCTGTTTATACGCGAACTAGTTTTAAAGCTATCGAATTGAAATTTTGCACGCAGTATATATGACGGAACGGCCGGGATCGGCCGACTATAACCTATAGCTGCCATATAACTGATTGATCGGAAATGCCATAATTTTGGTGTTTGTAAAGTTAGGAAGTTGGGATTTTCTATGCGTTTTATTTTTTGCCAATCAATCCGACCTATCAAATTTCATAAGGATCGGCCGACTATATCCTATAGCTGCCATATAACTGAACGATTGGAAATGCCATAACTTTGGAGTTTTTAAAGTTAGGAAGTTGGATTTTTTATGAGTATTAAGAATGCATCATATGAATAATTTTGGAGAATATAATTTACAGAGTATTCTGCAAGGGTATACCAACTTCGGCTCCGCCCGAAGTTACCTTTGCTTTCTTGTTTTTTTGTTTTTTTTGTCGATTTTTCAGCAATTTTTGTAAGCAATAATTTTTCTAAAATTTGGAAAGGCGTTACCAAATTTTAGAAAAATGGGCTTGCAGAAAAGTGACCTGAAACCTGCACTTCTAAGCCCATAACTTTTCTTATAGACATCCGATTTCAAAGTGGCATACTTCAAAATAATCGTGGTTTGATTCTCTAAAAATCTGTGTTTCCAGTTTTTTTTTTGTTTTTGGGTCGATTTTTCATTATTTTAAGCAATGTAACCCCTTTCCAAATTTTAGAAAAATGGGCTTGCAGAAAAGTGACCTAAAACCTGCACTTCTTAGCCCATAACTTTTGTTACGGACATCCGTTTTCAAAGTGGCATTCTTTAAAATGATTGTGGTTTCATTCTCTAAAAACTGTGTTTCCAGTTTTTTTTTTGTTTTTGGGTCGATTTTTCATCATTTTAAGCAATGTAACCCCTTTCCAAATTTTAGAAAAATGGGCTTGCAGAAAACTGACCTAAAACCTGCACTTCTTAGCCCATAACTTTTCTTATAGACATCCGATTTTAAAGTGGCATACTTTAAAATGATTGCGGTTTTATTCTCTAAAAACTGTGTTTCCGGTTTTTTTTTTTTTTTTGGGTCGATTTTTCATCATTTTAAGCAATATAACCCCTTTCCAAATTTTAGAAAAATGGGTCTGCAGAAAGGTGTCCAAAACCTGCACTTCTTAGCACATAACTTTTGTTACGGACATCCGTTTTCAAAGTTGCGTTCTTTAAAATGATTGTGGTTTCATACTCTAAAAATCTGTGTTTACAGTTTTTTTTTTTTTTTTGGGTCGATTTTTCATCATTTTAAGCAATGTAACCCCTTTCCAAATTTTAGAAAAATGGGCTTGCAGAAAAGTGATCAAAAACCTGCACTTCTAAGCCCATAACTTTTGTTACGGACATCAGATTTCAAAGTGGCATACTTTAAAATGATTGTGGATTCATTCTCTAAAAAAATGGTTTTTCCAGTTTTTTTTGGTTTTGGGTCGATTTTTCATCATTTTAAGCAATGTAACCCCTTTCCAAATTTTAGAAAAATGGGCTTGCAGAAAACTGACCTAAAACCTGCACTTCTCAGCCCATAACTTTTCTTACAGACATCCGATTTCAAAGTGGCATACTTTAAAATGATTGTGGTTTAATTCTCTAAAAAACTGTGTTTACAGTTTTTTTTTTTTTTTGGGTCGATTTTTCATCATTTTAAGCAAATTTTAGAAAAATTGGCTTGCAGGAAAGTGACCTAAAACCTGCACTTCTTAGCGCATAACTTTTCTTATAGACATCCTATTTCAAAGTGGCATACTTCAAAATGATCGTGGTTTCATTCTCTAAAAATCTGTGTTTCCAGTTTTTTTTTTGTTTTTGGGTCGATTTTTCAGCAATTTTTTTAAGCAATAATTTAAAAAAAAAAAACTGGAAACACAGTTTTTTAGAGAATTAAATGACGAAAAATCGACCCAAAAAAAAAAGAGTAAACTAAAAACAAAGATTTTTAGGGAATCAAACCACGATCATTTTGAAGTATGCCACTTTGAAATCGGATGTCCGTAACAAAAGTTATGGGCTAAGAAGTGCAGGTTTTGGACACTTTTCTGCAGACCCATTTTTCGAAAATTTGGAAAGGGGTTACATTGCTTAAAATGATGAAAAATCGACCCAAAAAAAAAAGAGTAAACTAAAAACAAAGATTTTTAGGGAATCAAACCACGATCATTTTGAAGTATGCCACTTTGAAATCGGATGTCCGTAACAAAAGTTATGGGCTAAGAAGTGCAGGTTTTGGACACTTTTCTGCAGACCCATTTTTCGAAAATTTGGAAAGGGGTTACATTGCTTAAAATGATGAAAAATCGACCCAAAAAAAAGAGTAAACTAAAAACAAAGATTTTTAGGGAATCAAACCACGATCATTTTGAAGTATGCCACTTTGAAATCGGATGTCCGTAACAAAAGTTATGGGCTAAGAAGTGCAGGTTTTGGACACTTTTCTGCAGACCCATTTTTCGAAAATTTGGAAAGGGGTTATATTGCTTAAAATGATGAAAAATCGACCCAAAACAAAAAAAAAACTGTAAACACAGTTTTTTAGAGAATGAAACCACAATCATTTTAAAGAACGCAACTTTGAAAACGGATGTCCGTAACAAAAGTTATGTGCTAAGAAGTGCAGGTTTTGGACACTTTTCTGCAGACCCATTTTTCTAAAATTATATTGCTTAAAATGATGAAAAATCGACCAAAAACAAAAAAAAAAAACTGTAAACACAGTTTTTTAGAGAATTAAAAAACAATCATTTTAAAGTATGCCACTTTGAAATCGCATGTCTGTAAGAAAAGTTATGGGCTAAGAAGTGCAGGTTTTAGGTCACTTTTCTGCAGACCCATTTTTTTTTAAATTTGAAAAGGTGAAAAAATGGTGAAAAATCGACCCAAAAAAAAAAAGTAAACTAAAAACACAAATTTTTAAGGAATCAAACCACGATCATTTTGAAGTATGCCACTTTAAAATCAGATGTCTGTAAGAAAAGTTATGAGCTTAAAAGTGGAGTTTTTATAATTATTATAATAATACAGAAATAATAATGGTCACTGCAAGGGTGTAGAAAAGTATAACAAAATTACGAATTGTTTTTTGCATAAACATTTTAAATTTAATTGTATTTTTTATATCCCTTTTTCAGATTGTTCCTCACAACTTCCAATGTTTTTACGTTGACCCACCCTACTGTTCAGGATTCCAATGTAGGGAGAGCCAAACTGGACGCCGTGGGATTGCTCAAAGGCCATGTGATTCGCCCCCCGCTGTGGACTATCAACGCAACGCTAATGGCAGTTAAACCACTGGGAGGACTAGATAATTACCGTCTGAATGGCACGTCTGAGATATATAAATCTCGTAAAGGCGGCACGTACTTGCCTTTGTGCACATGCGGCTAAATTTGATAGAGGCGGAAGAAAGTGCATGGTGTGCTACTTACACAGCCATTGTTAATTGGTTGCCGTCCTGCCCTGCACCTTGCCCATATTGTAATATATGATACTACTTTTATGTGAAGTTATATTAATTATATCTTGTTTACAGCTGCGCAGTGTGGCCGGACCAGTTCAAAAATGAGCGCGCTTTAAGTGAGACCAGAGTACGGGCACCAGCTATTCTAAGGGAAAGAAGCGACGGGCACACTTGTTAACTAATTGGAAACGCCGGTCCAGTTGGAATCTAACTAAGTAAAATGGATCTGTTAGTGTTAATCCCTGGCATTCCCGTCTAGTCTTAGACCCTGGAACCCCAGTCACATTTCAAATCCTGCTGACAACTTGAATGAAAAGCAGCTGGTAAAATTCTGACCTGTCTATCAAGAAATCAACCGGAAAATGAACGCGATGGACTTCGTAGAGATCGACGGCTCCTACTTGGAGGGCGGCGGACAGGCGCTGCGCAACGCCCTGAGTCTCAGCTGCATCCTGGGTAAGCCAGTGCGCGTGATCAAGATCCGGGCCAACCGCCCGAAGCCGGGGCTCTCGCACCAGCACCTGCACGGGCTGAACCTGCTGCGTGACATCGCCAACGCGGACGTGGTGGGCAACGCTCTACTCTCCACCGAAGTGGAGTTCACCCCACGTTCCATCCTGGGCAGCACCTACCGCGTGGACACGCACACGGCGGCCAGCATCACCCTGATCTACCAGATGGCCTTGCCCGTCCTCCTCTTCGCCGGACGCCCCTCCCGCCTCAGCGTGTCCGGGGGGCACGAACGTGGCCTTCGCCCCGCCGGTGGAGTACATGGAGCAGGTGCTGCTGCCCAACCTGAAGCGCTTTGGCGCCGGCTTCGATCTGCAGATCCAGCAGCACGGCTTCTATCCGCGGGGCAAGGGCAGCTGCCAGCTGGACGTGCAGCCGGTGGGCAAGCTGGTGGCCGGGCAGTTCCTGGAGTTCGGCCGCCTGCAGACGGTCAGCGGAGTGGCCTTCTGTGCCGGCCGCCTGCCGAGGAGCCTGGCGCTGGACATGCAGCAGACGGCGCAGCGCGAGATCCACCGCCTGTGGCCGGGGCAGCAGTGCAGGATCGAGGCGGTGAAGCTGCAGCCGGAGAAGGCGCGCGACAACGGAGCTGGCATCCTGATGACGGCCCACACATCCGGGGGCTGTGTCCTGGGCTCGGCCACGCTGGGCGAGAAGAGGGTCGACGGGCATGTGCTCGGCTCGGAGGCCTCCTGCCAGCTGTCTGAGTACGTTCGCAAGGAGACCTGCGTGGACGCCCACATGCAGGACCAACTGATCATCTACATGGCCCTGGCCGTCGGCTGCTCCAAGATGCGCACTGGCCCGCTGACCAAGCACACGCGCACCGCCATCCATGTGGCCGAGCAGATGACGGGCGTCCAGTTCGACGTGGAGGTGGAGCCTTCCGGCCAGACGTTGGTCACCTGCGAGGGCCTGGGACAACTCAATCGGATGCTCTAACAATCGATCTTTACTATACGGCAATCTTAAATTAGTGTCTACACAAATGGACAATATACGTTGCTAGAGGCGACGGAAAATGGCCAAGAAGTGATCGCCCTTGTTTCGCACCACCTTGGCGCCCTCCTCGCTGCTCTGGTAGAGCTTCGGGGTGATGTGATCGGCTTCCTGTGGGTGGAAATGGGAGCATTACTATGTGGCCAGCTGCAGGATCTACCGATCCCGGTGAACGTACCGCCTCCGCCTCGGTGAGACGCTCGTAGAGCGGATGCTCCTCCATGTGCGCCACGATCCACTTGTGCAGGTCCTCCACGTCCGTCATGGTGTACACCAGACCCTATGGCGAGAATGATTGAGCTGAGTGGTTGCCACACCTTCAGTGGGTGCCCAGAGACTCACCCCCTTCCTCAGGACATAGGCGTACTCGGAGAGCAGGGCCTGGTTGATGATGCGCCACTTGTGCTTGGCCCGCTTGAAGTGCGGATCCGGGTACAGGAAGAACATCTTCTCCAGCTGGCCCTTGGCGAAGTAGTTGGGCAGATACTTCATGGCATTGGTGCGCAGGCAGGCGATGTTTTGGTACGCCCCCGCGCCCGTGGCCTCGCTCTTCCGGCGCAGCGCCGCGATCCGGTCCACCACGTAGTCGGACACCTTGACGCGGATCTCCATGCCGATGGACAGCTTCTCGGGAAACATCTCGCCCAGGGTGACCAGGAAGCCGCCGTAGCCGCAGCCGATGTCCGCGAAGCGCACCTGCTGGCCCGGCTGGATGCTCGGGTAGAGCTTGCGCCAGTCCACATCCTCCGGGCGGGCGGGACTGCGGAAGTGCATTCAATTAAATCCAATCCCCTTTGCCACTGCTGCAGTTACTCACTAGTCAAAGCTGTGGTCCGCAATGGGATTCGAGTGCGCCCGCTGGCGGTAGAAGCGCTTCTGTGGCAGTCCGGTTACCGCCGACGTCGGACTCAGTGCATCCGGCTCCGGATCCCGATCCTGCGCCTGTTCACCGGTGGTCACCATAGCTTGAGCTGAGAATGGACAACGTCTGAGAGCGGACAACAGCACGTTGTGTTCGTAGCTGAGCCGTCCGAGAATATACTGAAAAATACTTTTTGGTAATGTTAGGGGCATTCCCACGACTCACTACGATATTTCTCATTTTAAATCGGGTCTGACATACAAACACAAACACATGTATTTTTCCCAGTGGCTTCTAAACCTAAATAACCAATTTTTTTCAATAAAAACACGTTACATTTAAAATTATGACAATTGCATTTTTTTTCTGGAAAATGTTGCATGCTTTTGGGGGCTCTCAATTTGCACCGGCCACCTTCTGCCATTTATGTTCGCCTAGTACTTCAAGAGGTGGCTGCTCGAATTTTGTAAAATTAAAATTTCTCTGAAAAGTGTTGCATACTTTTGGGCAGTCGATCGTAGCGTCTACGACATTCAATTTTTTCGTTGCATGCTTTTGGGGGCTATGAATTTGCGCAGGCACCTTCTGCAATTTCTGTTCCCCTGGTACTTTAAATCCAGAAATTTCGCAATTTAAACGAAAAATTTTGCTAAGACAGCTTGAAATTGAATTGAATTCTTGTTTTTTTTATAAATGTTATTAATCCCATTTGTCCACCAACGGAATATCATTTTTAAAAAGCCCATGTTCCCGAATTCAAAATAACATAAATTAAATAAACTTTATTAAATTGTTGTTACACATTTTTTTCCATAAAACTTAAGGAATTCCCCTAACGGATAAAAATACTAACTCCTGAGCTGGCATCACTGCCAGAGACCCAAACATTTAGTTCTCTTGTTCGGTTTACTGCGGCGCACTTAAAGAAGTTGATTCTGATTCGGCCTTTGCTGCAGTGCATCGCCACACCAGCCCGCATCCACCACATCCCAATCGCGATGTCGCGGGTTTATCTGCTGCCGGTGGCCACGTTCCTGGTCTTCCAGGTGACCTTTATTGGCACGTAAGTACGCAGTGGTTCAGGTGCAGGCCTTTATCTGACTCCTTGCCCCCTCAGGTACATTTTCGCCGTGCTGGAGGGACATGTGGTGCCCACGGTTCCCTACATTAGCGATGCAGCGACATATTCTCCGGAGAGCTGTGTGTTCGGGCAGCTAATCAACATAGGCAGTGTTCTGCGTGAGTCCCGTCTTCTCCCGGCATCGCTCCTCTCCAGAAGATGATGAGTCATCTGCTGATTGGAAGCAGCCGCTTTGTTGCTGCTTATCTAATTGATTCGATTGCTTTGCAGTGGGAATCACCATATACGTGCGCTACCGCCATGTGCTGCAGCTCTACGAACACCACCCGGATCTGGACGCCTCGGTACTCCGCCAGAACCGCCTGGCGCTGTGGTTCGGACTGGTGTCCTGCCTGGGCATCAGCTTCGTGGGCAACTTCCAGGAGACGAACGTGCGGATTGTGCATTTCATCGGGGCCTTCTGCTGCTTCGGATGCGGCACCTTGTACTTCTGGATGCAGGCGCTCATCTCCTACCTGATCTTCCCCATGTCGGGCACCCGCATTTACGCCCACCTGCGGCTGGGCATGTCCGTGGTCTGCACCATCCTGTTCATCCTGCTGGCGGTGACCGGGGTGATGTCGCACATCCTGTTCAAGGGACAGAATCCGCGGAAGTGGTGGGTCCGCGGCCAAGCTATCGAGTCCGGACGATACTCACTCTTATCCCCTTTCAGGTATCCCTCGGACGGCGGCTGGTACTTCCACGTGGTCAGCTCCATTTCGGAGTGGATCATTGCAACCATCTTCAGCTTCTTTATCCTCTCCTTCACGCAGGAGTTCCGCGACGTGTCGCTGTCGCATCCCCAGATCGCCCTGATGTCCTACACGGCCACCATTTAGAGATTAGCCTGCTAGTTTTAGAGTAGAGATCTTGGGCTGGATTAGCCGGCGATCCCTTGTCCAGCTTCAACATTCTGCATGTATACTCCTCGAGGATGATGCGTTTGTCCGGGAGTGGTGCACTGCGACCGCTCGACTGCCTTCCTTCTCTTTCTTTCTCCTGCTCTTTCTCTGTCGGATTGCTGTGATATGTGCAAAGTGCTCCAAAAGGATTGGGAGCGGGTCGGCCCGAATGGCAGGCAGGTGCTTGATTGAGGAGTTAAATTTATTGATTACCCGAGTTCGTTCTTACATTACACATTAAAATTACTAAATCGAACTAATCGGTTGAAATGATCTGTAAATCTGTAAAATACAAAGCAATGAAATGAAAAGAAAAGAAAAGGAGTGTTTGTCTGTTTGTTTGTCAATCCCTAACGCTTGCGATCCCTGGAGCGATCACCATCGCGATGCTTGTGGCCACCTCGGCTGCCGTGGTTCCCGCTTCCTCCTCCTCCGCCGCCGCCACCTCCTCCACCGCCCCGTCCCTCTCCACCGCCTCCGCTGTTGCGATGCGAGGAGGAGGAGTAGCGACTGTGCTTGCCGGAGTTCGAGTTCGAGCCCGAGTTGCGATACTTGTCACCATCACTTACATTGTTGCTGCTGCCGGCGTTCCCAGACCGATCCTTCTTCGAGTAGTATTCGGAGCGTTCTCGCGTGGATTTCCTGTAAGAAATACAAAATTGGATAAGTACGGTTTTTGACCTTATAAACGAGGCAGTGTTTTGTTACTAGATTACTTCTGTACGGCATTAGTTAATATGGCATTAATGAAAGTTAGCCCAAATCATCATAAGTTATTAAACTATCATTCAATAAATATAGAAAATTATTTTAAGAAGCATCCGTTCTTTGAAAACACAATGGGATTGTTGGGATAGAAATGTCAACCTACGTCTTTCTGTGTTTGCTGTGCGGCGAACTGGAGCGCGTGGGCGACCTCGAGTAGTGGCGCGACTTTTTCTTGTGCTTCGGCGGCGAACGAGAGCGCGAGCGGGAGGATCGGCTGCGGTGGGACTTCTTGGTGCGCTCGCGACTCGGCGACCGGGATCTCGGCGAGCGGGAGCGTGGTGTTCTCGACTGAGTGCGCGTCCTGGAGCGCGATCTAGAGTCCTTCTCCGGCGACTTCTCCGAGGGCAAGGGCAGTGGAATCGCCCGCTGGATGAAGCCGCCCCATGCATTGTGGGAGCCATTGTTGCGGTCCACGGTGATCACAGCCGGCGGTGTGTTCGCCTCCTTCGTCTTGTTGCGCGCATCGATGTACCGCTTCTTCAGCTCGTCCACAGCGGCCTCCAGTTTCTCCACCACCGGCTTCGAACGCGTGTACAGCTCCATCACCCGGTAGCAGATATCCGTGATGTCCGCCATGGGCACGCGGAAGATGCCGAACCACGGCGGACTGCTGGGCAGCGGTATGTTGAGCTTACGGGCACTCAGGTAGATGCACGCACAAGCAATGGCCTCTGGCGTGTAGCGCATGAAAACGTCTGTCCTTAAAGAGTCGTTCATGAAATTCCATGATAACTGCATCAACTTCTCGTTCTTCTCGTACTGCAGCACCTGCAGGTACATCACAATCAGCTTGTGCGGATGCTTTACGTGCACGCAGAAGCCCAGTTCCTTGAGAACGCGTCGCTCGGCCTTGATCACCTGCATCTTGAGGTTCGTGTAGTAGGGATCCAGCACCATGGGCGAGATCTCCCTACGGGACAGAGAGAGGGAGGCATAAGCATTAGCAGCTGGGGAACGGGGCAAACTGAAATACTTACTTTTGGGCCCGCACTTGCTTGATGTGGTGGAACACATTGATCACGTCCCGGATGCGTCGGGGTGCCTCCTCGATCTTGGAGGCCAGGCACACACAGCTCATGGCCACCGTCTCCATATTGTGGCGCACGAAGCTCTTGGAGTAGAAGAAGCGCTGGAAGAGCACCTGGCCGGTCGCCATGGCCACCTGCGGCAGGCGCAACAGGATGCCCGCCGTCTGGATCAGCTCGCAGCCCAGTATCCGCAGGTCCTTCTCCGTCTCGTGGTCCAGTCCGTCCTGGCTGGACGGCGTCACGTCGATCTTGCCCTCCGGAATCAGGCTGTTCTCCAGCGTCAGCACGATGCGGTTGAATAGCCGCGGATAGATCGGCTTGCTGGCGTCCGCCTGGGCGGCTGCCACGCCCCCTGCATCGCCGCCCGCCACGCTGCTGTTGTTGGAGATGTTGACGCTGTTCGAGTGGAGCGATGTCACCGTGGTCAGCACATTGGTGATGGTCTCGACGGTCATCGAGGTGGCTGCCACCGTCGCGAGGACCATTGCGGCGCCGGCCCCACGGCTGGCCATTCGTGTCCAGAATGACGTCGCACGATTCACCACGTAAAGCGTATATTTTTGCTTTTAATTTACTTTATAATGCTCAACAATTTTGGCCAGCAATCGATTTCGATAACACGCACACGAAACAATTCTGCAAATGTTTCTCCGTGCCTACAATTAGTGTTGCAACAGTGGTTGGTTTACTAAATTAATCCAGAAAATACTAAAATTAAATATTGGAAAAACACGCGGCTTGAGTCTAGCAATGGATCGAGTCACGACTAAACATACCAAAAATACCCTAATTAAAAAATCACAAATTCAAAAGAGGTTTGTGTCATTGCTAACAAATATTCACGGTTTGCGCCGGTGCTTATACTATTTAACGGCCATTTTTAGGGCATTCCAAACCAGTCGGGATTTTATGCCAGTTGAGTGACGGTGCCATTATTTATTTATATTTTGTGCGTTGTTGATGTCAAATCCAATCGGAGTGCAGTCGCCAGCGAAAGGCTACAACAGAGCAAAAACTACAGATTTTAAGCAGCCGAGCCGCGACTGAGTGTTAGTGTGATTGTTTTTTTTATTGTTTTAGTGTTTATTGTGCTCGCAGGGCAGACAGAAAAACCATAGCGCTGTGCGAACGGAATTGGTCCAATTGGAGTTGCCCGAAATCGCAGTACGGATTCCAGTATTCCGGGGCACTTCCCCCCGTCGAAAGCCCCGCTCAGCCCCCTCGCAAACCCAGTATAACCAACAACTACCAGCCGAATTAGGGGTTGCAAAATTTCTGCAGCCAGCCCGGAAAAGTCGGAGGAAAACCGTTTGTGTCTGTGTGTGTGTGTGGAAAATAAGGGAAGCGCGCTAATACAAAACACTGCTCACCAAAGTCCAATCGGAATCGGAGGGCCACCGAATCCTTGAGAGAATCCTTTTCGCGTGCCATGCGTGACCTCGGCACCAAAATGGCCGAGCTTAAATTCGAGGCTCCGTTGGCGAAGTTCGAGGAGACGGACGAGTGGGGCGGTTGTGACTTCATCTCGAATCAGAACGCCCTCAACGACACGCTCAACCTGAATCTCAAGGATTCCCCCTCCACCGGCGGCAAGCCGGACTCAGCCAAGCTGCGGCTCCTGGAGGATGCGGTTCGCGATGCGCACGTGAGCAAGAACGGTGGCGGAGGAGGAGGAGGAGGAGGCGGCGGAACCGGAGGAGCTGGCTCCATCAGCCCCAACTGCAACACGCTGCAGGGCGGCGGATCAGTCATAGATCTCGGCCTGTCCGATGTGGGACTGGTGCCTGGCGAGGGCGCCGGATCGGGACTGGATGGCCTGGAGAAGCGCTCCTTGGCCGCCGGCGACCATGTGGACAACTTCACGGAGACTTTCGGAGGGAGTCTGGAGGACCTGGTGAACACCTTCGACGAGAAGATAACCAAGTGCTTCGGTAACTACGAGGAGAACGTCGAGGAGCTGGCTCCGGTGCAGGTGCGCAGCCAGGAGGAGATCATGAACGAATGCCAGTGAGTCTATTTGCAGTTTATAATTCGGATTAATCTTTTTTCTTGCTGATAAGGCAGATGCATTTTCAGCATTCAAAATTTTGATCCTAAGATATGTTTTGAATACTCAATAAAATGATATTTCTATGGTGTCCCTAAAAATCGCTAGAACCTTATAAGATACAACTATAGTTCAGGAATATATCAAATTTGGGTTTCTAAAAATAATACGGAAATCAATAAAAATGTTTACTCAGTTGTAAATGCTTTTTAAATTGATAACAAGTAGTTGACTAAAAACAATCAATGGGGGATTTTCTTCTAGATACTGCAATTATGTGTACATGTTTTTTAAACATCTGATGTCATGAAATCATCACTTACTAGCGAAATTAAATCCCTCAGATATCAATGTAATGTATGCAGTAAGTGGAATGTAGAAAAATTTAAGGTATAATATAGTAGAATTATATCAAATATAGGCCTCAGTTTAGGGATGCCGCATGCGGCAATTCCAAATCCTAGTTATGTAAAGTGCATTTCGCGATGTTTTGTGTTTTTGTGCTTTCGTGTCTATTGCGACGCTGCGGGTGGCAAGTGCGCATGCTCCGGACTCGGAGTGCTACCCCGTAGCCCCTGACCCCATCCCCCAATCCAGACCCGGCGCCACATAACTACGTAATCCTGCCCGAACCGCCGAGGGTGGGTGGTGCTTTCTTGTTGGATCGATAAAAGTGCCAGGAGTTTTCGCTGCTCTCATCTGGTCTTCGGGCGACTGTTGCGCCTCGTGGATGCAACCTGGGCGGGCACCCTGTACCCGTGCTTCCAGCCGCAGCCCCATTGTAACGCTGATCCACTTATGTCGGGGAAGTGGCAATCGCTCGAAGTGGTGGGGAGGGGGCGGGGCAATAAATCATTTATATCCAGTGGCCAGATAAACACTTCACGGAGCATTGGCCAAAGAAATGGGAAGAGAGTTGGAGAGCGGTGAGTGGTAAGGGGGCGGGAAAAGGGTTGAGCGGGCGACAGAAGAAAGCGGCTAAGGGGGTCGCATTGTCAAAGCCCCACTTTCGAGCTTCAGAGATTCGACTCCGAGTCGGATGTCCAATGCAATGCAAATCAAATCCAGCGAAGAGCGAAAAACAATAATGCTATATGGCTCCTATCTGTCTCTTTCCCTCTCGGCTGACATCAGCCATAAATTTGATAATCGCGTGCACACCCGCGATCCATGCGAGTGTGTGTGTTTACGAGCGCAAATACTAATTCACATCCTGTGCAAATAAATAAACACACAGTGGACACTGGCTACCTGGTAAAATGGAAGAGTATACAAATTTCATTCACTTTTCGATTTTAAACAATCAAATTAATTGGTACGTCTAGTTTTATCTCTAGATCTTGTTGGATTCTGTCAGTTTATACCTTTCACAGCAACGAGAATTTAGATAGGAGCTTTCAATCCTAAAGTGTGTATTATTTTTCAAAATGTACATCTGAAGATTAAAATTTTTAAAATTTATTATTTTGACTAGTTAGTTAGTTAGTTTCTTTAAATCTCAGTATAGTCGTTGTTGCTGTCTGAATTGGTATATTTAAAGGACAATGTTCACATACAATCAAATGTTGTTTTTTAGCTGCAATCACTGTACTCAAATGTCTGGATACACATGTGCGTAAATAATATTTTGACGTATTCAGAATTCAATAATGAAAATTCCAGCCAAAAATGGCACTGCCGCAATGACTATTCGTTCATGTATTTGCCGATAAATCAGAAAAAATTCAATTACTAGATTCACTCCTTGCTCTTTATTTCTCTCAGAGATTAAAAAAAAATCACGAAAAAAGTGTAACTTTTTTGTTTACTTTAGAAATGGTTGTGAATTATGTCACAACATTTAAAATATTGAAACCAAAAGAATTTTGAAGAATCCTCATTTCTGAAACCATTTTTGTTGCTATGTCAAACGAACCATCGTCAAGAAACTTCTAAGAAGAAGCCCTAAGCCCTTATTATAAAATGTTTTGTGTCTGTTTTACGGAGGTATAATAAAAAGAAAAATGTAATCAATAAAAAAAAACAAAAACGAAATCGGATTCTTCTTAACCTCTAGGCAGATGCTGGAAACCTGGAAAATGTGTAGAGATGACAAAACTCTGCAGCAGCGCATTCAACCGTAGTCGTTCGCTCTGCTGCAGTTTGTCTTAATTGCGTTTTTTTCATGTTTCGAGTATTCATTGCCACCGCGTTCTCTGCACCCTGGCCCCATCCCCGCTCTCCATCTGACCCCATCTCCCTCACTATCTGCCTCTCTCATCTACATGAGTGCATCTTGTGCCGCCCAACTAACTGTTACTGCCTTTGTTCTGTCTCTCCTCTCCTCTCTCATGGGGATAGGGTACCAAGAGCTGTATTGGGCTGCACTGCATTTACGATGGACGTACAAATACGATATTCATAACCGTTTTCATTTGGAAGACATATTAAAATATTTTTGTAATTTTTCTCTAAGGTTATATGTTTATATGCTATGTTGACGAACACTTTCCAAGGACAATCCTCATTATCCTAACCCCAAAACACATTAACGAACAATGGGTATGGAGAAGTCTACCCCAGATGCTGCATGCAAATGGTTTGTTCTTGTGTGTCGGCGCGTTAAACGCAACTGCGACGTCAACGCCTGCTGTCAATATTTACCTTATTTAATAATGATTCAGTGGAAATTGTGCTGAGTAAGGTGGCCGAAGGTCGTAGGTCGCTCTCTGGGTCCAGTCCCTTTCCCGCTTTCCTCCTTTCCTGGGAGCTATTCTCTATTCTATATTTACAACAGCCCCACCCCCTACTTCACCGCCTTCGACCAAGTTTTCAACTGCATTCCGCTCTGATTAGTGGCAGCTGCTCCAAGGACGAACTTCGTTCGGTTAGTTCGGTTCGTGCGGAAAAGTTGAGGCAACACGGAAAATCTCTTGGCAACGGGACAAGAGGAAGAAAGCCCTACTCCAAGATAACAAGAACACAAAGGAAAAGTTAATTTTCCAGAAACCCGAGATTAAAACACACTTACTTAGCAAAAATCCTCATGAAAAACTCAATGGGATTTACCAAAGTGTTATTGCATTTTTGATTCGGTATCTTTAAAGACTCTTGTTTTATTTGTCCTATCAGCTCTTAAATATATTTAAAGCTGCCTGTCCAAATTTGAATAGATAGTAAAAACTTCAAGTCTATATCCAAAGTGGTAAGGCCCCCTCTTTAAGGGTATAATACGTACTACGTAGAACAGGCACGATTAGTAATCGGGCTGATGACCATATGCCCAGTTCGACTGGGGTTTATAGCACTTATAAAATGCGCTCCATATGGCCAGCACTCTTCCGGTTTCTTTTGCCCCAAACGAACCGAACCGAAACACGCGACATGGGTCGAAAAGGTGGCGATGCGATGGTGACTTTCTGCTCATAATTGAATTGTTGCTGGCGACCCACTTTTGCGGCCAAGTCCCCAAGCCGAGACCTCAATCGATTCCTGTTTCGCAGCGGGGTTCAATGTCCTGCATCCTTCGGGTGCACAACTTGCATCTGCCAGCTGTCGCATTAAATAAACCGCACTGCTAAGCATAAGCCAAGATAGTGAAAATCGGATATGGGACACAGCGGTTAAAACGTTATGATTTTTTGTATAGAAAGAAATTCTATATAAATGAGTAGTTTTCATATTCGAAGAAATTACTTTTAAGTCAGTTTTTCGAACTTTCTTTTACACTCCAACTCATAGTTGTATGGTATTAAAAATAGTAAATATTCAAATTATTTATGCTTCAGGTGGTTTAAGCCCGGCTTTTGAGCTTGTCATCTGGAAACGTTGTATATCTTTGGTATATTGCCCCACAACGATCATCTTTTTCGCTGCATTCTCCAAGTTGATCATAATCATTATTTCCTGTGCATAACAAAAACTTGTTTGCAACCATTTACGGCAAATGCCAAAAGCTGCTCTGTCTACCAATACCCTCCTTCAACGAACTTCGGTCGCCCGCGATCTTAGCGATCTGCAGTCAGATCGATTAAAGCATTCGGTTATTAATTGACCACACGCAATGCCTCCACTCGACACTCGAAACTCGAGATCTTACATCAGCAAACTCATCTGGCTGCAGCTAAACAAATGCCGAAGCGTTGATTGCTCTTAATTGGTATTTGGCCAGGGAACCTGTTAACGAGTTTGCGGCCTTCTACGACTATGAAATCAGTTCCAAGATCGCAATGCGTTTAAGGTGGTAAAGAATTGGAAGTAAGACAGCTGGTTCTGGTGAGAGAATTTAATAAGCACTTAAGAGTTGTATTCTCACATGGTCTTTTCGATATTATATCTGAACACATTGTGTCAATTGAAACTAAAGTTTTGAAAGAATGTCAGTTTTCGGTTAATTAATTGTAAATACGGTTCATCGTTGAAACTCCCTCAACTCGCGTAAAATTTGACTCCTTCCTTAAGTTCATTGACTGGTAATTGCTGCATTAGCCAAGGATTTACTTTCAGTTGGCTGAAACTTAAGCTCAGACCGGACTTTCTTCAAAGCCTTGACTCGAGGGCAGCTACTGAACTGCATGGTAATCAATTAAGAGGGGTCTCTGCTATAAATAATCGGATGTGACTGTGCCAGGGGATGGTTCATCTGGGGGTTGGTAAACAGGACACGGCCTAGCGGCCATTATAGCCGCCCTGTGACATGAGTGGCATATAAAAACAATAATACAATTTATACACAGAGAAAAAATTAGAACTAGAAAAATCAAAAAACAAGAAAGGAAAGCTAACTTCGGGCGGAGCCGAAGTTGAAATACCCTTGCAAAATATTCTGCAAATTATATTCTCCAAAATTATTCATATGATGCATTCTTAATACTCATAAAAAATCCCACCTTCCTAACTTTAAAAACACCAAAGTTATGGCAATTTCAATCGTTCAGTTATATGGCAGCTACAGGATATAGTCGGCCGATCCATATGAAAT